TCTTGGTTTCTTTATTTATTTATTTATTTATTTATTTATTTATTTATTTATTTTTGGTATCAGGGATTGAATTTAGGACCTTGCACTTGCCGGGCAGGTGCAGCACCACTGAGCTACATCCCTGGCCCCCTAAATATTCTTTAAAACTTATTTTCAAATAAGTAAAACAAATTTATTTCAGACCAGAAAATATTAGGGTTCTGGTTGAGTCTGATTGTTGCTCTTTAGTTGTTTGGAGGGAAGCTCCTTATAAGTGCCAGAATGAGGAAGGGAACTCACACTTACTGAGCTGCTTGTTTGAATTAGTTTAACTCGTACAGCACTGTAAAGTAGCCATTTTTATCCTTTGTTCAGGAAAGGCTTTGGTACCTTTCCAAAACTAGCCCAGCTTATAGAAAATAGAGCCCAGAGTTGAGCCACAGAATCTATGTCCACGCACACTTCTCTGCCAAGACTTAGCTTGGAAAGGATAAGCGTTGGGGCACAGTCATCAATGCAGCAGTAGTTACCCATTATCCGTGGTTTCACTTTCCTTGATTTCAATTACCTGAAGTCTGAAAATCTTAAATGGAAAATTTGAGAAATAAACAATTTGTAGGCTCTATTTATTTTTCAGTGCTGGGGATCAAACCCAGGGTCTTGCACACGATAACAATTCACGTTTTAAAGTGACATTCTTAGTAGTGGATTAAGTCTTGTACTGTTCTGCTCTGTCCAGTGCTGGGTGTGCATCATCCTTTTGTCCAGCATATCCACACTGTATACACTAGGCTCCCATAAGTCACCTAGCAGCCTTCTTGATAAACAGTGATGGTCTTCTATCAGAGTGCTTGTGTTCAAGTAACCCTTATGTAGCCTAACACTACCTCACAAAGCCTACTTCATTTATTATGAAATTCATTAATGAATTATGAATTAATAAATATTTATAATTATCAAATTAATTCATTATGAATTTATCTCATTATGTGAAGTATTATATCAAGTCACATCATCATAAGAAGGGTGAATACAGTTAATAAGATATTTTATAATAGGTTACACCTTCATATAACTATTATTATAGCATTGTGGCATAACTGCTCTGATTTATTAATATTTATTGTTAATCTCTTACTATGGTTCATTTATAAAATCTCCTTTATCATAGATATATACATGTACAGAAAAGAAAACATAGTATATATGGGTTTGGTAATATCCACTTTTTTGGCATCTACTAGAAATACTGGTATGTGTTTCTTGTGGATAAGGAGGCGCTACTATATATGAAGATAGATATTTTGTCTATTGCACTCTTCTGGTGTCTAGACATACTTTAAAATAACTGAAATCTTTATTTAAAGCAATTCTATTAATTAAGCATTTATTTCTTCTTACCAGTGGAGTAGAAATGACTTTCCATTCTGTCATTATATTTCCCTTAGGAAAACAAATTCACTCATGAAATTAAGTTATTTTGACAGTATAATTTGTGATAGGATTCCTTTGCTGTCTGTTTCACATTTATCCCATTATCTCCAGATATTATTCTTTGATACTTATTGGGGCAGACTTCTGGGAGCCCACGGTTCCACAAATGTCAGACAGTGATTTAAGTGTTAGGATTCTGAATTTTAACATTTGACTCCACAAAAATATCCTGCTCAAGCAGAAAAGAAAAGTACTTTTCCTTTCCTCAGCTCCTTTCCTACCTCCTCCTATAAATATTCCTATATCCTTCCCCTTGGCACATTTTGCGAATTTTCGACAGAAAATGGGCCAGGTGATAATGGAGCAAACATTTCTTAATTTTTGTGTTAACGGTACTTAACTTTTAAGATTTAAATTTTTTGATATTCTTAGACATGTGTTCTCTTAAAGGAAACTTCCATATATCTACTAAAATTAGTCCAAGTTCCTTTTCAATCACAAAATTGATTATCCAACATTTTACCATTCCTGGATTATTACAATCATTCAGCAAACATTTTTCCTTCAAAATATTTTGATTGTAAAATTTCAAGATGGTGATAATGCTGTGAGAAACGGGTATGTAAAACAATGGGGAATAGATGCAATATCATTGAAAGACAAACTAAAAACATAAATGTTATAGTCTAAAAATTCAAAGGCTTAAAGGGGCTGCAGTGCAGTTCTTAAAGTCATTAATCATTTGAACAAGTGACTATGATCATCTCCACTGAAACTTAGGGTTCTAATGAATGGTATCATTTTGAATTGTAGGAGAAATAAATTTACTGTGAATAAATTTGGATGATGTTTTCATTAGAAATAGGTTTGGCTAGAAGCAACAGAGTACTGAAGATATCAGTGGCTTAAACAAATTTAGATGAGTTTATCTCTCTCGCAAGAGACCAAAGGTAGCTGACTTCAGGCTAGTTTGGTGATTCTGCAGTCAAATCAACAGGGCCCTGGGCTCTTTCTCGCCTGAGTTTCTGTCATCCTCAGTGTGATAGGTTTCGGCCTAAGGTAGCTTCTCCAGATCCAGCCATCACCTTGGTGTTGTAGTCAGCAGGAAGGAAGGAGTGCAACAAGGCCCAACCGGAAGTCATACATGACACTTTTCTACCTGAATATCACTGCTCAAAACTAATCATGGTGCATGGGATGATGATAACAGTTCCGTAATGAATGGTGCTTATGGCTGTACAGTGAGGATACTTATTGCCCCATACTCTTAAAAATGGTTAAAATTGTATGTTTTATGTTATGTGTATTTAACTACAAACTCAGTCAAGAGTTTGAGGGTGGGAAATGTAGTCTTTTTGTTTGAGCCCAACCTAGGGAACTTAGCATGTATCAAAATAAAAAATTAAAAAATGGGCTGAGGATGTAGCAATACCAAACCAAACCAAAAAAAATGAACAAGTGAGGTTCTATAACATGAAGAAAAGGCAGGTAAATATTCAGAATGCCTACCAGTCTCTGAAACATGTGCAATGGCAGAATATATAAAAAACAACAAAGTATAAAAGAAATACACAAAATCATGCATGGCCTATGGAGAGAATTGTCATAGGGGAACTAATAAGTATGTTTTTACCAGAAGCAAAAGAAATACAGTAAGTCAGGCAAACCTTTGGTGTGGAGCTCAGAATTCTTATGTTCTTTTATTTATTCAGTGGCATTGCCAAAGCATGGAATGAGGCACATTTTGGGGAAGGATCTGGCCCCATATTGTTGGATGAAGTGCACTGCACTGGGAATGAGCTTTCGATTGAGCAGTGTCCAAAGAGTTCCTGGGGTGAGCATGACTGTGGCCACAGAGAAGATGCTGGGGTGTCCTGTACCCCCCTTACAGGTAAGGTTGTTACCCCCTTAATACAACAGCCCTTCCCCCAGCACCATTTGGACTTACCGCACCTTTTTTTCTCCTCATTTCACATAGTAGTAACAAATGACCATTCAAATAAATATCCTAAATCAAAGCAAAAGTTCCAAAAGCTATGTATTAAAATGCTATCTCTTTATTTTAGGATGTTTCTGAATTTTTCAGTTTAAGACCATACAGTTCTATAAAACTAGGTTAAAAATATGACTGTTGCAATATGTAATGCATAGTAATGAAAACCAGTGTGCAATGATAAATTTCAGATATTGTGTTATAATCACATTTTTAGTTAATTCATCTGTTAACCACTCTTACTGTCAGAATGTATTTACATATTGTATAAAACTGTAATGATGTGGTTGTTGATTAAAGCACATGATTAAAGAAACAAAATCAGCAATCAAATTAATTTTCAGACAATTCCAAATTTCAGCATGACTGTCCACATAGATCATGTAGTATAAGAAGGGTATGTCTCTGTGCATACTTGCATGTTTAGGGGGAAGACGAAAAAATATGAAAGCTAAGTTGCAACATCACAAATCCATTGTTTGTTTGTCAAAGTTAACTTGAAAAACTTTGTCTAATCTTACTTTAAGAAAAATCAAAATATCTTAAGGCTACACAATACTAAACTTACACCTTTTTATAAACATCAACACTGCTGTTTTTATTAGCAGAATAAATCATTTATATACAATATGTATTTATTATTTATGCTAGATTTAAACCAGAGTTCATTATTTTTGGGGACTGCCATTTCCTCCTCTTTCTTTTTTTTTTTTTGTATTAAATTCTCTTATTGGTATATTGTAGGTATACAACACAATTACATTTCTCATTGGGAATTGTACCTTTATATAATGCATCTTGGTTCT